CCTTTCTCACCCTCATTCCTTCTGAGTGGCTGGTTGGATGACTGTAAAGTGAGGAAGAAGAGAGTTCACACTGAAAAGGCCCACCCACTCCCAGTGCCTGAGGGTTGTGGGGGGTGTTACCGCCCGCAGGCGCTGAAGCCTGGGACTGCGTGGGTCTAGCCGGCGCGGATGTGGGCACGGTGCACAGCTGACCCAGGCAGCTGGGAACTGTTTGCTAACAGGCCGGGGAGCAGCAGATGCAAAGTGAGGGCTCTTGTTTGCACAGGCCATCTCCATGGCAACAGGAAAGTCAATAGGCAGGACATTCCCTAGAAAACCCTTCTGGCCCCACCCTGCGCTTCAGGTGAGGGAAGCGGTCCCACACTGAGCAATAAGCAGATCCTCAAAGGCCAGAACTTTAGTAGAAAAAGCCAGAAAGAGCCCGGCGCGGTGGTGCGTGCCTATAGTCCCAGCTACTAGGGAGACTGAGGCTGGAGGATCGCTTGAGCCCAGAAGTTCCGGGCTGTAGTGCGCTATGCTGATCGGGTGTCGGCACTAAGTTCGGCACCAATATGGTGACCTCCCGGGAGCGAGGGACCACCGGGTTGCCTAAGGAGGAGTGAACTGGCCCAGGTTGGAAACGCAGCAGGTCAAAATTCCCGTGCTGATCTGTAGTGGGATCGTGCCTGTGAATAGACCCTGTCTCTTAAAAAAAAAAAAAAAAATCTGGGCCCAAAATACACAAATATTTTGAACAAACATACAGCTTACTCCCAGACTGTTTTTTAAAAAAAAAAAGTTTGTTTCTGAAATGTACAGGTAATTTGACCAAGGTGTGTGTATTGGTTAGTTGGTGGAAACTAAACCAATGATCATGATTCCCAGCTGAGGATGGGGAGGCACACTGCTTAGCAGAAGAGCAGAGGCAATGGAGGGGCAGGAAATCATGCCTTGTTCATTACAGAGCTGACGCAGGGTCGGCCTTCCACTGCAAAACAGTAAACTATGCAGTGGAATCTGCAGGACAGAGAGATAATGTTCTAATTATTAATACAAAAAAAAAAAAAAAGAACCACCTCCTCCAATGACCTGGCCATAGGGCCTAAAATTCCCATCTTGTTCCCATCCTTACTCCCATCCTTACTCCCATCCTTCAAGTAAGTCACTGATGGCCTTCAGTTCAAAAGTCAATGCTACCGGGAAATTAACTATTAGCAGCTGTTATACCAACACTCGATTAATTTCTCAGAAAGCACCTTGAAGCAGGGCTTTGAAGGACTGAGCCACAGGACAGGTAAGTTTTGTACAGGAAAAAAATTGACAGAGTGTGCAGGATGTGGCTCAGAGGGCAGGCCTCAGCAGGTACCACAGTGGGAGCCAGGAATCTTAAAGACACTGGGCGCCCAGCAAAAGTCAGGGGGATGGAAGATGGGAGGAGGGAAAGATTGAAAAAGTAATCAAGACCAGCTTCATAACTGGCCTAGAATTTACCTCTGTTATGCCTAAAAATTCTGGTCATCATAATATCAGAGTAACCCTGTGCTCATTTGGTCTTTTTTTTTTTTTTCCTCTGTCATCAGGGCTGGAGTGCAGTGGTGTGATCTCAGTTCACTGCAATCTCTGCCTCCCAGGTTCCAGCGATTCTTGTGCCTTGGCCTCCCAAGTAGCTGGGATTACGGGTGTGCACCACCACACCCAGCTAATTTTTGTATTTTAGTAGAGACAGGGTTTTGCCATGATGACCAGGCCGGTCTTGAACTCAAGTGATTCGCTTGCCTCGGCCTCCCAAAGTGCTGGCATTACCGGCATAAACCAGCACACCTGGCCTCATTTGGTCTTTATACTCAGCAGGCATCAACACCAAGTATAACATAGCTCAGCGTGACTCATGGAGCCCCTGAACCTTAGAAGGACCCTCTTAGAACAGGACACATCGTATTTTCTTTATTTAGAATTATGCCTGTCATAGGTTCACAAAAATATGAAAATGTCCAGGTTCAGATGGACTGCACATGAACTCTATCTCTAGAAATGCACACAAATACCTGAAATGAGTGTTAGGGAGAGCCTTAGGGTGGGGGCTTGTCCTTTCCCATCACTGCTGTCCTCTGAGGGCTGCACTGTGTTTTCAATCTGTTTACAATAAATATATAATGGTCTCCCAGTATTGTTTTCCTGCTTCCTAACTGGTTCCTGCCTCCAGTCTCTACACAAAAAGCCCAAGTGATCCTTTTAAAACATGTCAGATCATAAGCAAAACTTTTAACAGATTCCTATTCCACTTAGGATGAAATCCAAAGCCCATGCCTCAGCCCGCAAAGCTGCACACATTGTGGTCTCTCTGACCTCACCAACTTCCCACAGTCCCACTGCTCCCTGTGCCCCAACCTGACTGACCTCCTCACATTCTACAGCACCCCAAGTGCACTCCTGCCTCAGGACCTTTGCACATGCTCTTCCCTGCCTGGGATATTCCTTCTCTCTACTCCCCAACCCCCCAGAGAACTGCATGGTTCAGTTCTTCATTATATTAGGTTGGTGAAAAACCACAATTACTTTTGCAATTATATTTACGTCTCTGCTCACTTGTCACCTTATCACCACCTCACATAAAACTGGATCTCCCTTCCTTGCTACCCTTGACTACTTTCCCTTTTCCTCTGATTTTCTTTTCTTTTTGAGATAGAGTCATGCTCTGTTTCCCAGGCTGGAGCGCAGTCATGAGATCTCAGCTCACCACAACCTCCACCACCTAGGTTCAAGCTATTCTCCTGCCTCAGCCTCCTGAGTAGCTGGGACTACAGGCAAGCACCACCATGCCCAGCTTATTTTTGTATTTTTAGTAGAGACAGGGTTTCATTATGTTGGCCAGACTGGTCTCGAACTCCTGACCTCATGATCCACCTGCCTCAGTCTCCCAGAGTGCTGGGATTACAGGCGCAAGTCACCATGCCCCACCCTGATTTACTATTCTTCATGGGATACAACGGTTTCTTCTTTAGTCACATCACTTCATGGTACCTGACACATTATATACATATTTTTTAGTGTATTTGTTTATTTTATGACTTTCTCAAAGTATTGAAACCTTCAAGAAAGCAAGGACTTTAAACCATAGATGAGAGTTTTGAGGCCAGCCCATTGCCACGCTAAAATAAATAAGGCACAAAATGAGGAAGGCCTCAACCAGGCTGGTGGCTGTGGGCCTGGGGAAGAAACACATACACAAGCAGCGACCATGGAAAGGAAGAAAACATAAGATCTGGCGACAGACTGGATAAGACATAAGAAGGGGCCAGGCATGGTGGCTCACGCCTGTAATCCCAACAGTATGGGAGGCCAAGGCAGGAGGTTACCTGAGGTCAGGAGTTCGAGACCAGCCTGGCCAGCCAACGTGGTAAAACC